GAGTACGAGCTGAGGCTTGCAGCACAGCGTCTCTCATTTAGCCACTGACCGTCAACCAGGCATGATCTGGCGCACCCAGCCTCGCTAGGGGTCAAGGCCCCCCAGCTCCGCGCCACCTTGGTCGAGCCCCTCCCCGACAATATCCACCGCCGGACTTGCGGCGAGAAGACCCCCCTAGCTTGGAAAATTCCGTAGTGCGTTGACTTTGCCAGCTGCGCCAGCTGCCAGTGCTCGACGGACTTGGTGACGATCTGCCTCACCGTCCACGGCGAGTGAACTGCCAGATTGAGCTTCTCGCCAGCCTCGGAGACCCAGCCAGTGAAGGCGGGCGGCGTGAAGCCGATCCTCTGCAGCGACTTGACCGCGGCTCCGATCGGCCCGCGCACGTCGGACCAGTTCCTGGCCACCTTCACGTTCCACTCGAAGGTTGACTTGAGCATCGACGTCGGGACCCACTGCTCCCAGACCGCCCGAGCCAGCATTATCACGGGCCCAAGCGCGGCGGCGAAAATGGGGTCCAGGTTCCTGGCCCCTGAGAGCATCAGCACTGCAGTGGCGCTCTTGCCTGCTGGTCTGGCTTCCACGGCTCTGACAGTGATGGACCTCATCTTGGACAGCTCGCTCTCGTTGAGGCCTGTGCAGTTGACGCCGTATAGGGCCGAAGGGTGTAAGCCAGTGTAGGCCACCTTGGCAGCCGCGGTGCGCCCTTTCCGTAGCCCCAGAAAGCTGCGCACCTTACCCATGCGCAACTCGACACTGGCGAACCGCTGCTGCCGAATCGCCCTAGCTGCGCGTCGCCCCTCAGCATGATCGATGCCGAGGTTCCGCGCGTGGCGCGCACCAAGCGCCCCAGCGACCTTGAGCAGCCGCCTGGAGATATTGCAGCGGACCCCAGTAGAGTTACCTAAGACCCTGGACTTCTTGACGGCGATCTTGAGCTTCACCTGCTTCAAATGCTGCACGAGGTGCCGTGTGCCACCTACCAGGTCGTCTTGCACTCTTCCGGTGTTGCCCCAGCGCTGCAGCACCAGGTCGTCGACCACGATCGCTGGCGCAACAGCCCCGAACTTTGCGACCATCTCGTCCACTGGGTGCAGCAGCATGAGCTTCATGAAGCCCGTGGCGAACGCATCCCTTGCGAGCACCGTCTGGTATACCTGCAGCTCATGCGAGCAGCACCCGTCTAAGTGCAGGACCCGCGGCGCACGAGACAGCGAGATCTGCAACCTGGCCAGCCACAGCGGGAACCCGTACTTGGTAGCCGCTTGCACCAGGCTTGGATGAGAGACTTGCCCGAACGCCTTTCACAGGTCGAGCAGGATGCTGGCAGAGGCCCAATCCTGGTCAGGGTGCAGCTCCGCCATCATCGCGACCCACTCTGACCTCGTCTGCTGCTGCCACACCGCTCTGTCGCAAGCGCGACCCGAACACGCCCACCAGTAAGGCCTGTCATTGTCTTTCTCCCACTTTTGCATGAGGGGCCCTCTGGGCCTTCCGCGCAAACGCACCACCGCAGGTAGAAGGGCAATGGGGCGAAGGCCCCCGTCAGCCTGGGGGATGAAGGCCATTTTCGTAATGAAAGAGCTGGGCCAGTCGGCCTTCGCCTCAATGGCCCTGATGAGATCAATGAGCGCCTCGATGCCTTGGTCATCCATGAGATACAACTCACTGGGCCGCAGGCTGTCGAAATTGGATCCAGACTGAGGCCTGAAGGACGCGATTACCTTCCTCAGCTCAGCAACTGAAGGTCAGTCAGGGCGCCCTCCGAGATCTTGCGGCCATGCGATGCGGTGCCTCGCAGGCTCCTGCTCACTCGGTGCCGCCACATCCCAGTAAACCGACCACTCGTCCACTGGCGTCTCCAGGCTTTGCTGGATGGTGGACGGCGGCTCGCCGTCTGGCTTGGCGGGCTTCGCATTCCAGCTCTGCGCCATCTTGGTGGCCGCGTGGATGCCGCCTGCGCCTGTGGCCACTGAGTGCAGCACCCACTCGTTGTAGTTCTGGGAGGCTTGGTCCATGCCAGTCTTGACCATCTTCTCCGACCAGCTGAAGCATGCCGCACTGAGAACGTCCAGCTGCGGAAGGGAGTAGCTGCTGGCTCCTGTGGCTCTGACGTGAATAGCGCGCTGCAACTCGCTGAGTTCGGACGGGGGCCTGCTGACCAACTTGCGCAAGGCACGGAGCGCGCCCAGCCTTGCGAGCGGGCGCTCGATCTGCGCAGCATCCCTGAGGCAGATGGCGATCGCCCTGCACCACGTCGATGTCAGCTTGACCCTCGGCGGCCTCGGTGGCGACGGTGCCGTAGCCGAAGTGCTCACAAGCCAGGGTCGCTGCCCTCGGCCTGCGTACATGTCGTGCTCATGGAGGAGCCCGCATGCGTCGATCATGTTGGTCTCCGCCTGGCCGATGGAGAAGGGCCACATGCAATCCACGTCGCTGGTGTTGGCGATCCTCTCCCGCATCTCCTCCCAGGCAGGTGCATGGTCCCGCGAGCAGCACGCTAGCGGCTTGGCCAGCGGCAGCTGCTTCGCAGTGCGCATGACCGCGATGTCCTGGTGCCTGCTGGGCCCGAGCAGCTCGAGCGCGACAGGGTAGTGCGGGCTGAGGTCGAGCCCGTGCACGACGCTGGCCGTGGCCCTCGGAAGCACCTTGAGACCGCGAAATAGTCGATGATCCTGCCCGCTGGCCTGCATGTGGCCTCAGCAGGAGCTGCCACCACCGCCTGCGCAGCTTCCAGCCAGCCCGACTCTGCCAAGACCGACGGCTCCATGTTGAAGCCCCCTCCGACGACGAAGGGCCTGTTGGCAGCCTGGAGCGCCCTGAGCACCGCGTACAGCGTATCTGCGTTGCTCTTGTTGAGGCCGACATTGACCTCCAAATAGATATTGACCCACGCGATGCCTCCCCTGCAGACGCCGTTGAAGTGGGAAATAATGGCTCGCCCAGGTACGAGCACAGCTGGCCTGCCGAGCAGGTCGAAAGGCCCGAGCCCAAGATGCTGGGACGCCATTTGCACGAGGCCTCCCGTGCCCTGGGAGCCTGGCCCAGCATTGACCGCTGGTGCAGCCTCCGAGATCCGAGGCTGCGGAGTTGACCTTGTGCATCATGTGTGCGCCGCGAATCCAGGTGCGTCTCCTGGGCGGCCACGAAATCGCAGTGCCCGACCGTGGTGGCGCCTAGCAGGTTGGCGAACCGAGACCAGGCGTTACAGTTGACCGCGAGCCCGACCCACCACTTGCCTTGCTCGTCCGCCCCGCGGGGCAGGGTCGACGACCGACTGCCGCCGGTCGCCACGCTGCTACCCTCCTGCGGTGCGTGACCGCTTGGCTGCTCTGAGGGTGTCGAGCGCTTCCTGGAGCCGCTTCCTCTCGTTGTCGTCCGTCGCGCTGCCGAGGAGCCCCCCAGGGTCGTCGCAGCCCATGAACTTGTCGAGAACGCCCCCTTCTGGCTGAGCCATAGGGGTGTCCTCTTGCTCGGCCTCGCGGGCCGCACCAGCACCTGCTCCTCCAGCCTCGCTTGCGGCATGGCCGCCCCGCTGTTGTTCAGGCCCCGGAGGATGCCCAGCGGCTGCAGCCGAAGTAGCCATCTCGCCCAAGAGTTTGGCGAGGCTGTCCACAACGTCCGCTCCAGACTTGCCCTCGGTGTCGATGGTGGCGACCTTCTCCTTGAGCGTGCGGATGGTTTCCTTCACAGTGGTGGCCGAGTAGAGCTTGGTTGCCTGCTTCTTCGCCTCCTCGAGCTCCGCCTTGCGGTCCGCGAGGGCCTTCTCCGCGTCCGCGAGCGCCTCCAAGGCCTTGCGTGAGCTCTCCAAGAGCCGCTCTCGCTTGGCCGCAGCATCGGCGACGGCGAGGGAGGCCTGGTCGACTGCCGAGGGGAGCTTCCTCGCTGCTGCGGGAAAGAACATCCTTGACGAGTTCGTACGACTCCAGAGCCATGGCGGCGTAGGCGGCGATCCACGAAGCGTTGTATTGGGTGGGGGACACGCGTGCGAGCACCGCCACTGGAGCCTTATTGTGGAGCTCTCTGTGGGGCCACGACATGTCTAAGGGGCGCGCCGAAATGGGGCGGCGGTGCCATGCGAACTTTCCCACTTGGGCCTTAGGTGGAGCTCACGAAGCTTGTGAGGAATGTGCCCGAATGGGGTGGCGATGCCATTCGAACTTTCCCATTGGGCCTCCGGTGGTGCTCCTGGGCCACGAGACGTGTGAGGGGTTGTGCCGACATGGGGCGGCGGTGCCATGCGAACTTTCCCACTTGGGCCTTAGGTGGAGCTCACGAAGCGTGTGAGGAATGTGCCCGAATGGGGTGGCGGTGCCATTCGAACTTTCCCATTGGGCCTCCGGTGGAGCTCCTGGGCCACGAGACGTGTGAGGGGTTGTGCCGAAATGGGGCGGCGGTGCCATGCGAACTTTCCCACTGGGGCTTTCGATGGAGCTCCCTAGGGGGCCCCGAAACGTGTGAGGGGTGTGCCGAAGTGGGATGCGGAGAGCAGAGGCAAGGAGCGGGAAGAGGGAGGAGGGAGGAGGAGGAGGAGAAGGAGAGGAGGATAAGGAGACGCGGGGCGCTGTCTCTTCAAAGCGAGGACCCCACACCACTGGATGGTTGGGAAGAAAAGCGAAACACCCTCCGTCGTGGTTTCCTCACGACGCATGGCGGCGTGGGGGATCCGGGGGTCCGACTTCGACCGCCGGACCTCTCCAGGGGCGCGCTCCGACCAGGATTTTGAAGGGAATCCAGCTGTGACCACGAGAAGGGTCGGAAACGCCCGAAGACCGTGGTGCCGTCGCTGGCTCGCTCCGCGCGCCGTGGAACCAGGAGGAAGGGGACAAGGAGGACAGGGACAAGGAGGAGGGGGAGGAGGAGGAGGAGGAGGAGGAGGAGGAGGGACTGAGGAGGGACTGAGGAGGGACTGAGGGGTCGGAAGCGCCATCCTCGACCATCGATCCTCGATCGTCCGTCGCGAGTTCTGTCACGGCGCGGGCCGCCCTTCCCCTCGGGAG